GCCTGCCCCTGCCCCAAGAACTAAATTTGTGGTGAGATAAGTTCCCACATCCTGTCACAAAGGGGCTGCATGTTCTCTCCAAGCTCCAAGACTCAGCTGGCTGGAACCCATCAGGGCTTATGGGGCCTGAGAAATAGACTTTATCAGGAAGCTCTTAGGAATGAATTTGTAATTTGGGGGTCAGCAAGGAAGCTAAGGAAATCATTACTCCACCTGCCATTATGCCATTCATCATCGTGAGAGCCAAATACAGACTACCAACCCTTATGTTTAGTGTATATTATGGAAAGAAATGCACCTGGCTTTTACAGATGTGGGGGGGAGGGCGCGCACGTGTGTGTGTGTGTTTGGAGGTGGGAGGGGAAGGTGGTGTTGCAGAGAAGGGTGGGAAATAAAACCAAGTTCCTGCATTCAGATCACAGCAGAGCATCCACATTATGTCCATAAGTCTCAGTTTGCTAAGTATTTGAGTGTGTGGACAGTGGAACTTGTTATCTACTGTTTATATAAAGGCTTTGGTACAATACTCTGTCTTCCCTTAACTTCACTTAACCACTGAAAGCTATTATAGTGGTTGGATTGTATAATTTTTAAAAATAAAGAACTTTAAGACTGTTTTCTTTTTCATAATATAATTCCTTAGACTCAAGAGTTTCCCCTTCCACACTCCCTCTCCCCTCAATGTTTTCCTCCATGTTATAACAATAGTCCATCTTTATTCAGTTCTGTTTCCAAAGTGTCTCTCTGAAAGAGAAATGACAGAGATGGACATACGATGAACCTCTACTTAGAGCACCCACATCCCATCCCAGGATGCCAGCATATCTCAGAGATGAAGTCTGCCTCCAGAGCTATTTGTTGTTGTCATTAGTCAACCACAATTCATGAGTGTTTTTAAAAAATAACTCTGGACACGAGATGTTTTTCAAAGGCATAGAACTCTAAAACATCTCTAGCGATAGCCTTGTTATATACTAGTTACCTGTAGGATTTAGAGTGTACTCTATTGTTTAAAAAATAAAACAGAGTCAGACTTTAAGGTAAGACAATTTGGACAATTCAAAAGCAATAGAACAAGTACAGAACTTCTCAACCTGGGCACTATGTGTTCCTGTGGGAGTCCATCCTGTGCATTAAAGAACAATGTGTTTGACTGTGTTCCTAGCTTCTGCCCACACAATATCAGTAACACACCACCCTTGGCCTTCCCCCTCCTCTCAATTGGTCATTTTTACCTAAAATCTCTCCAGCATTGCCAAGCACCCCTAGCGGAGGAAAGTGGCCCAGGCGAGGCCCTCGGGATTACTGCAATAGTCGAGCTGGAGCTGTAGCTGTAGCATTGGTACTGGGCATGCGTTAGGTACTTGCTGCTTGACATGTCTACAACCCACATCAGCATGCCCAGGTTTGAGTGTCAGCTCCAGCTCCTGAGTCTTAGTTTTCTGCCAATAGAAACCCTCTATGGCAGCAGTGATGGTTCAGGTGGTCAAGTCTCTGTCACACGTTTGTGAAACCTAGATTGAGTTCCCAGCTCCTGGATTCATCTTGCTGCCTAGCCCAGGGTGGTCATTTGCAACATTTGGAGACACTGACCCACTTACGGGAATGTATGCTCTCTCTCTTGCTCTGCCTCTATGTGTATACATCTGCCGCTCAAATATTTTTTTTTAAAAGCCCTGAAAGTAATATACATGAACGTATGTGCCGACTGGCAAAGTAAAACAAAAAGTTAATATTGAAAAATAACAACTGGGTTTGCACAGATCCCAAACAGAATGGTTATCGACTGATCACACATCCAGCTGTACTGGTAGAATGTCTTATTTTGCCTTTCTTTCACTATCAATAAAAATAATCTAGTTATTATTAAAAGTAGTAATGATGATTAAATAATATCTAAAGCTATGTCAATTTTGGTGATTAAACCAGGCTCTTGATTTATCAGGCATATTTATTTGTTCATGGACTCTTTACTGGTTTTAATGTGTTCCCCCCAGGAACGTGTTGCTTGTCCTGTATCTCTCTCCCAAAATGCACTGAAAAGTTTTAAAGTATGCGCAAATTTAGCCTAAATATCACAACTCTGATATGTTAGCGAATCCTGTTTGCTTCAGGCATGTTGATGTAAAATTGGGAGATGACACTTATAACTTAGGGACATTCTGTTTTCATCCTCATTTGAGAGATGAAGAAAACTGAGCTTCAGAGAGGTTATTGGTTAGATCACATGGGTGGTAAGTGACAAAGTCAAATTTCAAACAAATCAAAAAAGTTCTAGCTGACGCTATTAACCTTGACCCTGTGGCCTCCTGGTTCTGGATTGGTAGCCCAGAGATGTAAGCTTCAATTCTAAATCTACCACTTCTGTATTCTCTAAAAGAATGTGGAATTCAACAATGGCTTATACTATTGCTTTGGTTTCCCCTATGAAATCTAAGGCATAAAGTTGCTATAACTAAATAGGATGCCACTCAGACCCTTTGGTTTTCATTTCCTCATTAATACAATGAAAGAAAGAGATTAGAAGATTTTGAAGACTTCATTCACTTTATAAAAATAGGAAAGCCACCTACAACCAAGACAAATATGAATTCATTTGACTCCCTCAAAAATTCCCATGGCTAGGCATTGTTAACTTTTCCCATTATAGGGGTGAACAAAGAATTTAAGTCTCTTGCACAATGTTAAATAGTTCATTAGAGTCAATCCCAGACCATCTGGCTCCTACATCGGTATTCCTGACTGCTCAGCCATGCAGGTCCTTGTCCTGATGTGAGAGTAAATTATAAATGTAGCATGTAAATTATAGAATATGGAATTAGTTGAGAAAAATGAAGCCTTGCCAAAAGTCAGATTTCCTCCCAGGGAGGGGCAGATTTTTGCATTTGGCACTTGTTTCTGTTCCTGTGCTAAGATCAGAGGCCATTCCAATTAGGATCTCCCAGGAGCCTGTGGAAAGACCCCAGCCTCGCTAATCCCTCCCTACATACCCAAACCTTACCTAGTTCTGCCGTGTTCAGCCTGTTGCTCTCAGTGATTGTGCAAGGATTTTGAAAGCCCTGCAATCAGGAAAGCAATTAAGGGAGCAAGGACCAAAACCAGATGTTCTCAGAAGCTGAGGTGTGGGGCAGTAAACAAGACACCAAACTCAAGCTGGAAGTTGTTGCTTCTGGTAGGTGTGCTCCACCTAGCCAAGTCCCTCGCTGCCACCACCTCCCCCACCATCCCACCCATCCATGGCTTTGGGCATGAGGAGAAACTTCTACCCAGTGCCCCAGTTCTTGTAAAATCACCACACAGCGAATACAGCTCAGTGCCAATATTCATTCCTCAGACATACGCCAGGATCCTGAGTGGCCCAGTCTCCAACTCTAGGTGTCGCATGGATACAAAAGGGAATGAAGCAGTTTCTGGACTTTGGAACCCTAGAAACGTGAGGTTGCCTTCTTACACTCATAGTTCCTGGCTGTGAGTTGCTGAACAAGCTATTGAATAGTGGCAATAATAACAACAATGTCCATATACTGAGCTGGTGCTGTGGTCAGGGCAGGCATTTTGCAAATTCCACCTCCACTGTACATGCCGAGTCTAGTAGATGTGCTTTGTTATCCTGTTTTATACATGATGCCACCGAGGCCCAGCCAACGAACTAGGACTTAAATCAAGTCCCAGGTTCTTTCCAAGTCATCCTCCTGCATTTCTAGCCTCACTTTCCTTTCCAGGGTGACAGAGTTACATAATGCCATTCTCTCATAAGTGCTAGATGAATGATACAGGACACTTTTTACACACTATAGGGTGGTTCTTGTTACTAGGAGAGCTCATTACATAGTGCCTGCAGGATTACACCATCTAAGAACAGAGAAAATCTTTCCACCTAGACAAGATCCAGGTTTTTGTGTTTTTGAGTGGAACTTGAGAATCTGAAATGTGTTTGGGTGTGGAGTATGATAGAGGAGCGGAGTTAAGAAATAGAAAAAACATCTTTCCTAAGTGGAATGTAAAACAGGAAAATGGAAATGGTCAAGTCACAGGTGTAACCTCAGTGCTTCCTTCTAAGACCTCAAATTTTCAGATATTTCTAGAAGAACTAGAACATCTGCACTCCTTGCTTCAGAGAGAAGGAGCACGCTATTAATTCTCCTAAATGAAACAGAGATGGGGACATGCTGACCGAGACTCCAGTTCTAGATAAGGTGGGCAGTGACTCTAAGCAGGAGTGCTGCAAAAGCAACAGGTGTGATTACAGAGATGGCCAAGACCTCTGGGAAGGAAGCTCTGGGAATGAGACTTGCCAGCCAGTCCCTATTGCTTCAGTAGTGCCCTCTCCATAGGCATCCACACTGTGCCCTCTGCCCAGAGCCAGTTCTCTGGAGAGTGTGCTTGGCCTCCGAACTCATGTGCTATTAAATCATTGGCACTAAACATGTATAAATAATAAGAAAAACATGTGTTGTTACTTTTGCCTTAAATGTGGGTAGGTATGAGAAGACTTCTTGCAAACCACATAGATCTGAAGCATGGCTGTGATGTATGAGGTATGCAGGTGAAATGTACAGAACAGCCTATGTGCCTTTCTTAAGGATGATTTCTACTTAATTAAACCATTGTCTATTAAATGAAACACAAATCATGGAAGATATCATTGGTTAGTCAGTTCCATATTTTCTTAAAATAGAAAGAGTAAAGATGTCAGAGGAAATCCCACAAGAAAGCTGGGGAAAGAGTGAGAAGAAAAGGTCAAGCGGTTACTTAAGCCAAAAATAAGCAAATGAATCTGAGATGATCAAAAGAAAAAGTGCTTGTACAACCATGGCCCTTCCCCTTCAAAAACCTCTCACCACTTATTTTGGCATAGAGGAAGACAAATGTTACAACAGCTCGCTAACCAATCAGTGGCTCTGTGACCCTCAAACCAGGAAGCCCTTGCAGGCAGAATATTTTAAACCGTGCAAGTGAAACTTCTGGCTCTCAGCTAGTTTTTGTTCCCTAACTTACAGGATGGAAAAGCAGATGTGAAGTCTCTCATGGCGAAATTCAACACGGGGGACAATCTGACAGAAGAGGTCTCTGGTCATGGCCGACCCTTCAAAGTCACCGGACAGAACTCAGCATCAGGGATACAAGCGAAGAAGAGCTTATTCAGCAACCCAGGAAATGGCAGTCCTCCCCCAGCACACGGCAGTGTTCCTAAATTTGGGTCCCCAAAGCCACCTCTGGGGACGAAACCTTCTGAGGAAAAGATGAACAAAGAGCCCAAGCCCCCATTGTTAAAATCAACTACAGTGGGCCAGAGATTTGGAACACCAGCAAATGTGGCTGCCAGAGATGCTGAGGGCAAGGCGGGTTTTCTGAAACCTGTGGGTCCCAAGCCACCCACCGTGCCCAAGGATGACCCCAAGCCTGTGTTTCTCGGGTCTCCAGGGAATAAGCCATCCCTTCACACTTTAAACCAAGACCAGGACTTGAAGCCATCAGGCCCCAAGCCGGGGCCTCGTCATCCTCCTCCTTCAGCCCTGGACAGTGAACAGAAGCAAGTGTTCCCCAAATTGGCTGGTGTCAAAGGCAAGTTTGTGTCTGCCTCCCAAGACCAAGACTCCAAGCCCATCTTCCCCAAACCCACCTTTGGCCAGAAGCCTGCCCTGAGTGCCGAAGACGCCCGTGAAGATGAGAGTCCTAGCAGGCACGTATCCTCCCAGAAAGGACCTCCAGCTCCTCTTGGGACCAAGTCCAAGAGCATCCCCTTAAAACCAGCCAGGGAAGACCCAGAAAATAAAGATGACAGCAACAATGCAACCAGTTCGCCTTTCCCTGGAGTGGTTCTGAAGCCAGCTGCAAACAGAGGAACCCCGGTCCTCTCCAAATCTGGGGATGACAAAAAAGAAGACAGGAAGATCGATGCTGCTAAGAACATCTTCCTGAGCAAAACGAACCAGGAGGAGGCAGCCTTGGGGGCTCCTCCTGCCAAGTTCCCCAAGGCGCCTTCCAAGCTGACAACGGGGGGACCATGGGCCCAAAGTCAAGAGAAGGACAAGGGAGAGAAGAATCCAACCACACCAAAGCGGAAGCCACTGCCACCGTTGTTCACCTTGGGTCCACCTCCACAAAAACCCAACAGACCACCAAACGTTGACCTGATGAAGTTCCGAAAAGCTGCTTCAGGAAACAGTGAGTTCTTGTCTCATTTGCCATTCATTGTGGTTTGAGCCATAACAGAGAGGGTATTAACTGCAAGGGCAGAATTTGGTAAGGAGAATTGTTCTGTAACTGGTAGTCATGCATGCATTGGATGAATTTTCTTTGGCCTCTTTTTCTTTTGTGTGGGAAGGAAGAAGTTGTGGGTGTAGGAAAGCGTGCTGGGAGCAAGGGCCCTAGCGAGCTGAATGTTTCAAGGGGCAGGAAAGGAGATACTTCCATTTAATTGATAAGTGGTTTTGTTTCATAAAAACTTTGCATTTACATCATTAGTTGAATTTCACTCCTATTGAAGGAGAATGAAGTATGTCTTTATTTTCCCCACACAGGATTTAGAAAAGTGAGTTCATCTCTATATCAGTGGTTCTCAAAAGGCGGAAGGGACAATTTGGGTAGCATTTTCAACATCTGGAGGTATTTTCTGATGCTCACACCTAGAGGATGCTACTTGTGAACCACAGGGAGAAGCCAGCGAGGCTGGAAAGCAACTAAAGTGCACAGAGCAGCTCCCCACTGCCATGAAAATTATCCAGCCACAAATGTCAACAAGGCAAAGGTTGAGGAGCCTTCCTGCAAATGGTTTCAAATTTCTATGCAATCTATCATGTTTCCAAGGTCTGATATTCATGTATGAGAAGGACAGGACTCTTAAGACATGGGACTTTGTGTTTTGCATGGTCGCTATTTCCGATTTCTCAGTATAGAACTTTGTGACTTTTTCTGATTCACGATAGTATCCAGTTGGGGACATAAGCTAGACAAATGGCCTATTCTTCTCCTTCTAGGTAAACACTTTAGTTTTGACCCAGTGATGTTACTACAACACTGTGGTACATGATGCATTTGGATACTGAGCCACTTGGTAAAGATGCACGATGATGAGTGAAGCTCACTCATGCCTGATATGATTAATCATTTAGGCAGATGATGTGCCACTGTTCCAAGTGACTGTACACTGCTACTCAGATTTTTGCTGGTTTCAAAAGTAGGATAAAATTAAAGCAGCTTGGGCTCCAAAGGTAGTTGTTTTTAATTTTTGTTTTTGTTATCATAGAAGCTTCTTGCCATATGACATCTTCCTGAGCTCGGCATTCTCTGTGCTGACAAAGTAATTAGGGATCAAGTCCGCAGTTCATCTGGTCACACGAAAGCAAGCCTGGAATGAGCATTTTCTTCTAGAAACCTGTTACACATGGTGTCTGCCTACCTGTCATGCTGTTTCAATGCTGGTTCACAATTCAGTGCTGGTTTTTTGTGACCTTCTAGACAGTTTTTCCCCCTCTTTCTTCTTTCTTCTGTAATAGATTTTGAAAGTTAACAACCAAAACCTTCATTTAGAGGTGGGCCTTTGAGATGCCATTCAGGATGCCTGCATCCCATCTCCGAGTGCCTATGTTCAAGGTCTAGCTCTGCTCTCAGTTACAGCTTCCTGCCGACATGCATCCTGGGAGGCGAAGATGATGGGCCGAGTGTTGGGTCTTTGCCACCCTCATGAAAAACCCGGATTGAGTTCTTAACTTAGGCCTAGGCCAGACCCAGCTGTTGGAGGCACTGGAGAATCAACAGGTAGAAAATACCACTCACTCTGCTTCTTAGATAACTACATTAATTAACATTTAAAATCTCATGAGATAAGAATAGTAATTGATATCGTGATGATCACTGTGAGATTTTTGTTCATTTTATTATTTTGTTTGAAAACTAGAGACATATAAGAGAGCTCTTCTATCTGCTTGGTCACTCCCCGAATGCCTACAACAGCCAGGGCTGAGCCAGAACAAATCCAAGAGCCAAGAATTCAATTCACAATTCCCACAGTAATGGCAGGAATTCAGCTGCTTGCGCCATCACCTACTGCTTCTCAGGAAGTCAGTATTGCTAAAACAGAAACAAAAAACCAACCTCCGTTGTACAACTGGGACTCATGCCAAGGAAATGGCCAATATTAACTAGAAATCCATGAACTCTTTTTTCTTTATCCTCTATGGTTCCACCCTTCTTCCAGGTCTGGGTGATGGTCTCCTTGCTTGTTGTTGGACTTGGTAACATTCTGTATTTGAAAGACATGAAGAGACTACCCCTATTTTATAAGCTGTTATAAGGAATAAAAGAGATTATGTTCAAAGTGCTCCTTAACACTGTATTTGCCATATAGTAATAGCACTACAGAATTTCATGATCTTTATTAGCATTGAAATCTATTACCAACCCTCATCATGTTTTCAACATCTTCTATTATTCCATGATATAAATTGTATTTTAGATACTTCAGTTAGTAATATGTAGATTTGTTACTGATTCATGTAAGATCATGTCAAAAACTTGGGCAGGGATTGCCAGGGAGAGGTTTCTGTGCAGAAGTCCTTCAGAGTTCCCCCTCCAAAGCCCCTTCCCAAGAGAAAGTGGGGAGAGAACAGCAGGTGTAGTCTCCAGGTTAGGATCACAGCTGCCACCAAATTTTGCTGCCTCCTGCTGAGTTCAAAGAAAGGTCTTTGAGACAGCAAGAGATGGAGAAAGACCACTAAGCCAGAACCAAATACTGTTTTCCCCAAGAAACTGGAATCAGCAAGGGTAGTTTTCCAAGGTGATTGTTTGCAGAGTGCATTTGCCTTCCCCATTACCCGTCAGCTAAATCTCCCCGGTGTGGATTAGGACCTGCCAGAGCTGTGCAGGTTGCTGGTTTCCAGGAACAACGCTTCCCAATAAGCTGCTGCAAGACCCTGAAATTTTCTGCAATTGGAGTTTCTACTCCAACTCTGATATATGCATGTCCTAAACACACTTAACTATGTATAAATTCCCATGCAGCAGAGCTTAACAATAAATTATCTGCTCCATAGTATAATTAGAAAATATACCCATTTGCTTGTAATAATATGGAGGAAGAAGAGATTCTATGCTTTAGAAAAAAAATAATATTCTATTATAAAACATTTACTCACTAAAATTTAGTAAATACCAATAAGAACTAAGTAAACATAGAGATTTTATCTAAGACTATTTTTATTACTTATGAAAATAATTCTACTAGTATTCAAATTAACTAATGCCTCATCTGGCAAATACAAGGTTTCAGAAACTGCAAGATCATTTTGTCAGCTTCTGTATCATCCTTTTCTTTCCAAGGTCACATTCAATTCTGAAGCCTCTTCCTCAGACGTGCTTCACATCCTTTTATCATCGGTCTGATATCTACACCATTAAAGTATTTATCATTTATTTTAAAATTTTTATATATCAGATCTATATCACCCTATTTATTCTTTCCAGACATGAAACAGGGATGACGTGAGGAAGGTGATGCTTACACAGTCAGGCACTTGCCACAGCCTCATTCTCTGATGCCGTAGACGGTGACCCTTACCCTCACCTGTCACACTGGACTGCCTCTCTTGAAACAGGTTATCATTAAATAAATTGGGGCAGGTGCTGTGGGAGTAAAGCCTGTGCTTGGGATTCCCACATCCCATGTCAGTGTTGCTTCAAGTCCTGACTTCTTTGCTCTGTCCTAACTCCCTGCCATTGCACCTAAGTAGCAGTAGACGTGGCTCAAGTATTTAAGCCCCTGCCTCCTCCATGAGCGGTCCAACTGGAGTTCCTAGCTCCTGATTCAAATCTGAACCAATTCTCTCTGCCTTTCAAACAAATTAATCTTTTAACAACAAGCATAAATCCAACCCTTCAAAAGTCTCGTTACTCTCCCTTTCACGTCTTTGAGTTAAAACGTGACATGATGATGGCAGAGATGATGAATACCATTGTAAGTTCTGTGAAGACAGATCGGTGTGCCTTTTACATTTTCATTTGGCGCATAGAAATAAATTGTTATCTTCTGAGCTTTGTGCTCCCAAGGAGGTCTATTTAACCAGAATTCAGTTGCTCCCAACTTTTTCAACATTAGATTCTAACGCTTTTAGATTTGCCAATTCCTTTAGCACATCAAATAACCTCTATTAACTAAATAACACTTAAGTGAATGGAGCTTTGATACAAAACGAATGCTAACCAAAACGCCTATCGTATAGATCTGTTTAGCTCACTTGTAAACTCCACATTTGACTATCACAGTTGTTTTCCTAGATGTGGAGCTATTTTTTTTTCTAAAGAATCAATTGAGGTTACAAAAGCCTAAACTTAAAGATGAATCCAAAATATCAGAATGTTCTGCAAACTAACCTATCCTTTGATTCGTCTTGGCTCGTAGACCAGTAATGAAAGTATAGTGGAAATGCCTCACTGGCAGAGTTTGGATTCTTCAGAACTCTGACATGATTCTTAAAGTTTGTATATAGGGCTTAGGAAAGCCTGCTGGGAAGTGTTCACTGTAACCCGTTTTCTAGACTTACTTTTCTTGCTGGAGAGAAACTGAGACACTTTTTCTGTAGGCTAACTATAAAAATTACCAGCTGTATACCTAGACAGCTGCAGGGGAAAGCCAAGGTCACAGAGCCCATTAGCAAAGAAGTAATGATGCCATGCACACCGTCTTTATTCATGCCTATGTCGGTTTAATCAACCTACTGCAATTGAAGGCAGAGGGCGCTTGGGCGACTTTCACCACCGACTAACTGCTTTGCAGGCGTGGGGAAACCTTCCTTCAGAGAACGGCATAGCCTTTCTCATTCCCTTCATTCTCCTTGGTCATATACTCGCTTACAATGTCCCATTAGATATTTTTATAGTATGTTAAAAACTAGTTTATGTCAACGTAAGGCGGTATTTTCCAAATTGTTGCCAATGAATTTGATAGGGATTCCGTGCAAAGACACGTTTTGTAAATGTAGAAGTTTTCTTTGCAGATTATTTCTCTAAGCATTAATATGCCACTTTGTGCTGGGGATCTAGGAATAAACACACAGAAAGAGCAGGTCCTGGGACACTTTTTTTCTGGAACATCTCAAACATTGGGTGTTTTTGGACATTGCAGAAATGGAAACAGAGCTGTCTTGTACTCGCAGAATGGTTCAGTTATA